AAGAAAGTAAAAAGAATGTTTTTTCGCTTTTCTAAAATAATCACTAGCAATATTGGAAGAGAACTTCCAAACTGTTACAAGAAAAAAAAAAAAAAAAGCAAATGAAACAACAAGTATAACGACAGAAAACTTAAAGTAAATAGTAGAAAGGGCTGGGGATTTAGCTCAGCGGCACAGCACCTGCCCAGCAAGCGTGGGGATCGTGAGTTCAATTCCCCGTATTGGGAAAAAAAAAAAAAGACTAAAATGTACATAGTAGAAATAAAACTGAGAGAACTTATTATGGTAAAGATGAATGTAGGTTCACTTCCTTTACTGGATTAAAACAAAACAAAAAAGCCTGGACATATAGTTTATACAGGAGACAGAAGTGGGACATTGAAGAGTTAAAAAGTCTTAAACTTTTGAATACTCTAGCCAATACAGCAGTAGCATACATGAAGCAAAAAATGGTTAGCAACACAGGGACATTAAAGATAAAACAGGAAAAAGCGAACATGTCTCTCTTTTAGAAAACTAGAGCTGAATGATACCATTATATAAACTTAAAGGTAATGTTTTAAAATAAATAATATTTAGTATTTTAATTTAAAAGAGATCACAACTTTCAAATAAAAGAACTGACAAAACACAGTCAAATACTAAGACACAAATTTTGAATTCTGTATTTTTAAGACTGAATCCATAAAAGCCAAAACCAAGCAATCAAAATATAAACAAGTCACACGCACACACTGCTAACCACTGGAAGGTCAAGCACTTCTCACTGGGTTTGGGGTTAAAGCAGAACATGTGCAACTCGGGAACTCACAGAATTCCCTAGCGACCCAAGGGACAACAGCAGTGGCTCTCGGAATAAACCACCGCCAAATCTCTAAGAAGCCAAGTCACAGCAGAGAGGATGAGCACAGCGTGAACCGTGAGGAATGAGAGCAGAGCTGGAGGGGACGGCAAAGCTTCGAGTGCGGTGCGCCCACCACCCTCCCGCCAAGCTCCTGTCCTTCAGTGTAACTCTGTAGTCTTACTTCTTTAGGTCCCAGGCCTCCCTAGGCGATTTCTGAGGTAGTCAGGACAGCAACTTCTTCTCTTGACTGGTTCTCGTTGTTTTTCTACAGCTTTTTCACGTCTTGCACGTGTTCAGGACGCCAAACAGCAGCAGCAGCAGCGCTCACACGTATCCCTGGCTCATTCCTGGCTTTAAAGGAACCTTTCCAGTGTTTCCACACTACGTGTAACTGCTATCTGCTTTGGTTTCTAGGGTAAACTCTACTCTAATGCGCTGATATTTCCATCTCTGGAGATGAGCGTGGTTTGTTTTTTTTTAAATACGTGTCACAGGTCTTCGTGGACACGGTGTGCCTATGTGACTGTCCCCAGTAAAACCTGCACACGGGCAGTGGACACCCCAGGGTGGAAGTGCTTCTGCCACACCCTGTGAGTCCACTGGGAGGGCACACGTGGAAGCGGGGCTTCGTTTCTCCTGGACTGCATGGCACGCCCTAGTGACGTTCACCTGCATGCTTTTGCTCTAATAAACCATAAGCACGACTGCGACCTGAGTCTGAGACTGTGACCTGAGGTTGTCTTGCAATCCCCGAAGACATCATTCACTGAAAACAACACGATGGGGTACCAGAATGTCCAAATATCCACGTTTTCATGACGGGATTTATATCACGCCAATCGCAGCATATTTCAACAACAAAACGTGAAAGTAAGTTCGGGGTACGCTCACTGAACAAGTGCACCTCGTTTTCACTGTTCCAAACTCACAGCACACTCATTCCTAGAAAGTGAGGCCAACATACCAACGGGGACAAACGGCGCCTCCTTAGCTTTCCGGAGAAGCTTAGATCCTTGACCCTCATCATACGAAGACAGAGAAACATCTGTGTTGCTTGACATAGTGACTGCTTGAAGAATCCTCCTGAAAGAGAATTTCTACGAGGTTCAGTAACTGGAGCCACCTGGCACATTATTAAAATACCTGAATGAACTCAAAACATTCCAAGTTTCCACGGAAAACCTGGTATGTGTTATCCATAAACTTCAAAAAATATCTCTTGAAATTAACTATTTTTAATCTACAGCCACCTTTAGAGTTACATACAATCCCTTTTCAAGTTGTTAAAGAGAGTACAATTTTTTTAAAAAATTGAACTTCTATCAGTCACAACAAGTTACTAATTTTCAGGCTACCTTCATCTCTCATCAACTCCAGTTACTCAAACCACAGCAGTAATCCCACTGCCTCTCCAGTGTCATGCTGGGAATCCTACTGACTACTTTTCAAGTATTTTTTTTTTCCTGATACCGCGAATCAAACTCAGGACCTTGCGCTTGCCAGGCAGGTGCTTGTGCTGCTGAGCTATATCCCCGGTCCCCTGCTAACTACTTTTAAGTGTAGCTAAGTGCAAACTTCATTGCTCCCACCTGCTCATTCAGTAACTCCAACGTGCTACCTGGCTTCAGTTCTCATCTCTGAACAGTCTGCACTAATCTCTAGTATTGAGACGCTTGTCTTTTGGGATAAGAGCACAGTAATTCTGAAGAGCCAAAATGTTTGCCACGTTTATTATTTATTCCTTTTAGAGACAAAGACATATTTGAGATGATGTTGCTAGACATGGCCCCTTTTAAATAGGTTCAACTGAATAAACCACATTGCCTTTGAGGTTATCAAACATCAATGCAGCAAAAAACGGAACTGCCTTGGGCCCTTCTTCATGAGCAAGTGTCTTCGGAACCTCAGATCTGCCTTCTTTTACGTATCTTCCTCACATTCCCCAGGCTTCCTCCTTAAAATTCTCTGCCCTCTTTTTATAATTCTAGTTCTTTAAATGGTACCCAAAAAGGCACCATTATATGAACAAGACAGTTATATGAACAAAGGGGCAGGTAAAAAATTTCATCTCCATTGTCAGAAGGAGCAAAGGCTGCTCTGTCCCTTTTGGGCATCTTCTCTCATTCAGGAAGGTGGGCATTCACCACGACAAGGCAGTAACAAGTTCAATTCACCTTTGTCACAGTAACTGTGTACTCACTTCCACCACACACAGTTTTGAAGTGCCAGTGAACTTTACTCATGGGTAAGATAAGGGAGTCCAACACGTAGGCAAGGCACAGATGTCGGATTCGTGTCCATTACAATAAACTCAAAGTCAACTGCCGAGCCCATCACCTACAGAGGGCCTTCATTCTGGATATTCCATGTGCATCACACGCCTCTCACTAAGGGAGGCCCTCCTTCAATAGCCTGCTGTGGGGAGGGGTAAGTGGCAGTGAACACTGTAAAAGAAAATGCAGTTCAGCTGGGCGTGGTGGCGCACTCAGGAGGCTGAGGCAGGAGGATCACTGCGAGTTCCAGACCAGCCTGGGCTACAAAGTGAGCTCAAGGCCAGCCTGAACTCAAAAAAAGACAAAAAAAAAAAAAGCAGCTTTAGGACTGGTGGCAGCACACTTAGTTGGAACGTATCTCCCCACCTCCCCACCACTGAAGAGTCAACGCTGGCATCCAACAGAGGCGGAAACCTTAGCTAGAGAAGAGAAAATTCAGAGTAGAACTAGATCTTCTCCTTTTCGTATTCCACTGCTTCCTAACTGACTAAACTCTTACTCAACTTTTATTATGCACAAGGTTCAACAAGCTCAAGGTTCAGGATGCTCATCACCTTTGAAAAACTAAAACATAAACACAAAAGCACTTACTGATCCAAAAACTAGAGACTGCTGCAAAGGAGACGACAGAGTGATGACCAACGTGACAGACACAATGAGGGCTGACTTCAGAAGGGGTGGCATCTTTAGCTAAAGGTCTGAGAAGTTTCAGAGAGAAAGGTTTGAGATTTGACCTCCAGAAACTGCATAAACAGATGAAATGGAGGGCCTGGACACCCGTTTTAGGCAGACGTGTTTACCAGCTGCCTCCATCTGCACAATAAGCTCCTCAGATGTAACCGTGTGGGGTACACATCCTTCTCCTCCCCACCCCCACCGTCACTGCACTGCACTCCGCTGAGATGCTCTCTCGGCTTCCGGGCCTCTGCCTAAGCCAACTGCGCTTCCCACAGTTTTCCTGCGTTTCCCCCCCTCCCATCTCCAGGAACTTTCCGGGCCAAATCCTACTTTTTCAGGCTTGCATCTTACTCAGCCTCTAAAGTTTTCTTTGATTCCCTAGGATTACAGTAGCGTTTGGGCTATGCAATCTCACAGAAGACAGCACTGTCTTTTAGCGCCCCTCAGAGCTATTTGTTTAACTGTTTCTTTTGCTGGAATCCTGGAAGTCAGGGCCCATTCTTGCTCTGTTTGTATTCATCTCCATGACGGGCAATGCCCTGTATGCAACAAGTACCACGAAATGTTTGTTGAATACACTTAAAGTTATGTTTCTCAACAGTAAGATCATTCTAAAGTGATTTATTTCAAAGTAGTGAAAAGAAGTTGTGTATTTGTAGAGTTTATTCAGTCAGTTAAGAAGCCAGACTCCACATACCCAAGATTTGTTACCAGTTTTACATTACATCTGTGAAAAAAGAAATGATCACCTGAGTAAGCCTTGGTTCCTAGCAACCACAAGACAGAAAATGGTCACCGACCACGATGCTCTCTAAAACTAAAAACTTGTAGGTTCCCCTACTCTGCCTTAATTACTCCTAACTCAGAAGAGAATCACCTGACGATTGTCTTTAAAAGTAAGAAAATCGACAGTTTTCCCTCTGATGATTTCAAATGTGCATGAATGTCCAGCAGGTCCACAGAGCAAAAGCTTTTTCCCACTTTTAGGAGGGTGGGAGATGACTACGGTGTCTCTTAACTCCACACAGAACAGAAGAGGATCTGTTATTCTCCATTCCTCGCTGGTGGCACAGACAATGCAGCTCTGCAGCTACGACACTTGACCCGGTTTTCTGCAGCTCAGAGTCTGGGCGCGGGGAACTTGCGATCATAATTCGCTTTAAAGGACCCAGAACGCATCATGTGCACATTTCTGGTTAAAATTAGTAAAGATGAGTATTAAAACATCCAACATATAGCACAGTTGTTAGAAATTCAAAGTTCAAATTATGGCTCTATCTATCATCTTACAAATTATGTAATTCTGATGTAGTATATATCTGAAATAGGTTTTAAATATAAAATTTTCGTTACTGCCTCAATTACCACCTAGAAGTTTCCCAAGTATTCAGGAGTTACAGCCATTTAAATTCAAAGTGTTATTCTTTTAAAGATTTAAGGTCAATAACCTCAACTGAGGTAATCTGGGAGTAAACAAATGAACCAGATGATTATTGATGTCTTTACTTTACAAGCAGGGAAAAAGTTCTAAAGGGTTACATGAATTGCTCGACACCAGGAATAGATCTCTGGCAGAGAAGGATTAGAACCCAGCTCTCCTGATACACAGTCCAGGGTTCTTTAATTGACATATTAGTAAATCGTCAAGCTGATGATGCTTGTACAAATTCAATCTGGAAACATAGAAATCCATTCCTGAGTAAGACTCACAATACTGTCTGTGATTTGTAAAGAATGCACAAGTCATGGTTAAAGTTAAATGCAATCTTCTTCCCTTAGTGATTTAACTCATCTAACAATTTCAATTATCATTTGAAGTATTTTCACTAGATTTTGCTTTATTATTTCATCCACCCCGATTGAACCATCTCTCTCAGAAAGCCAGTCAGATGCAAAACACGGCACGGATAACCAGACATTCAATGCCAGTTTGTAGAAAATGAATTATTCTTAGTTAAGACACCACTGAAGCTGGGTGTGGTGGTGCATACCTGTAATCCCAGCACTCAGGAGGCTGAGGCAGGAGGATCACCAGGAGTTCGAGCCAGCCTGGGCAAAACAGTGAGTTCAGGAGCAGCCCGAACTACATAGCAAGACCCTGTCTCAAAAATAAAACGTGGGCTGGGGACGTAGCTCAGCAGCATAAGCGCTTGCCTGGCAAACCTTAAGTCATGAGTTCGATTCCCGTAACAAACAAACAAACAAACAAAACACCCAAAAACTAAAACAAAAACAAAAACCCCTGCACACACCACTGAAGACCTTTCCAAGTACAAGGGAACCTAGAAGAGGTAAAAAGGAAACCGATCTGACCAGCATGCGATGATGTCATAATCTGAAGGCTCCTCTGGGCCTGACGTTTTGGCCGCAGGAGTCTATTGTAAGACTCGGTTTCAAAGTGCTTCTGCATCAGTCACCTGTCGGCTTGTTGAAGACGGCTGCCAGGCCTCGGCCCGGAGATTCAGCTTCAGACCCGGGGCAGGACCCCAGGAATCCACGGCAAGGAGCCCCTTCCACGCGGCACGGGGCACGGAGCAGCCCGGGGACCCCGGTGCACGGGACGCGCTCGCCTCTCATCCGCCGCGAGGAACCGCTCCGATCCGTGAGAACCCTACCGCGGAGCACCTCGGACTTCCGGAAGCGGGCTCCGTTCGGGGACGCCCCAGAGGGCCGGGCGGCTGCCCCAGCAGGGCCGGCGCGGGCGAACACCGCGCGGGGCTCCCGTCTTCACCGCCGGCCGGCGTGCCGGGCGGGAGAAACTTCGCCCCGTCCACAGGCAGGCCGGGCCGGGGGCGGCGACCGCCTCCCCTCCGCGGTGACCTTGGCGGACGCGGCGCCCGTCTCCGCGCAGCCGCTCTGCGGACGGCCCCGAGCCCCGACGTCCGCCCGCGCCCCGCGTCCTCCCGCTCCCCACGACCCGGCCACCCCGCCGGGCCCGGCTTCTCCCGACCTTCGCTCCCGCGGACCTGGAGCCCGAACCCGCCCCTCGAGCGACGCCCCCGCCTCCAGGCACCGCCCCGCCCGGATCCCACAGACGCGGGGCCCTCCGCGCCGCGGCCCGCGCCAGGGTCACCACGTCGCCCGCGCTCACTCACCTAGAGCCTCACCACCCCTCCAGCTCCGCCGGCTCCGAGCTCCGCCGGCTCCCCACGTCCGCCGGTCTGCTCCCCGTCCCGCCCACATCCCGCACCAGCCAATCAGAAGCCAGCGGCCGGCACGTGAGGGCCCGCCCGGGCGCGCGGTGCGTGCGTGTGCATGTGCGCGCTGGGTGGGGCGGCCCGGAGCGGGCCTCGGATTGGCTGGGCGCGCGGGTTGGGCGGGGCTCTGCGTCCCGGCTCTCTGCATGGGTCGTGTCGGACGTGGGAACAGGGCGGGTGGGGGTTGTCTCGGGTCACTTGAGGTGGGCCCGGGTCCCTGGGTCCCTGGGAACTCGGGGTGCCCTCGCTGTTTTACCCCTTAGGCGGCGGGCCTGGGGGCGAGGGGTCCTCGGAGGCTGGGGGCCGGGCGGGGGGCGCGCGCGCTATCCCACGCCTGCGCACTGTCGCGTCTGCGTTAGCCGGCGAGGCGCCCCGCGGCGGGGCCGGGGGTCCCGGGTCAGCCCCTCGCCTGCGCGCGGCTCCTGGGGCGCGCCCCGGACTGTCACGGGGTAGCTGTCGGGTGTACTGCGGGGAGCCTGTGCCTAACGTGGATCTCAGCGTAACAGAACGAGGCCGCCTGCCGAGCGCTGTGGCCGGCGGGTGGGGGCTAAGTGCCACGGACCCAGGATTTTGAAAAACAACCGAGTTAAAAGGCGTATGGGTGCATTTTCATGCTACGCGCGATAAATGCGAAACTCCGCGTCTCGTGAGGTAGCTTCCATCCCTTGAAGTCACACACTTGTCTCCTCGGATGCTGGCTTTGTGCTCAGTGGGAACTCAAGAGCGATAAATGAAGAAACGTGACTTGCAATAACTGGAGGATCATCAGGAACTCCTTCAGGCTTATTAAAAATTCAAGAGCCCACGGGGCGTGGTGGCGCACGCCTGTAATCCCAGCACTCGGGAGGCTGAGGCAGGAGGATCCTTGTGAGTTCGAGACCAGCCTGGGCTACAAAGTGAGCTCAAGGCCGGCCTGAACTGCACAGCAAGACCCTGTCTCAAAAAGAAAAAAAATTCAAGAGCCTGGCTGGGCAACTTGAAGCTGAACCAGAAGCCACACAGCCTTTGATGCTGGGGATACAAAGTCTACTAGCAGCGGTGACCCAGGCGTGTTCCTTGCTGAAGGGGACGCTTGCACCCCTCGCAGTGCGGCCACGCGGACCCGTGTGGAAGTCAGGCTGGCAGCACACTCACCCTCGCTTTGGGCTTCTCACAGCGTGACTTTTTCACTTACAACAAAGGAAAGAGTAGTGGTGGTTAGTGAGGAGGTACTTGTGAAGCGTGAGCCCGGTGCCTGGCAGCGAAAGTGTTGGCGAGGGTGCAGAAAGGCAGACTTCGCCTGCAAGGGGCTTGTGCAGTGAGTGTGGACAGATTGAGCCCTCTGCTTTTAGACATGATGATGCTAAGAAAGCACCCGGGCACGGTGGTGTGCATCAGTCATCCCGGCACTCAGGAGGCTGAGGCAGGACACAAGTTCAGGCCAGCCTGGGCCACATACAGAGACCTTGTCTCAAAGAATAAAAGAAAAAAAAGACATATCGCTGTTAAGTAGCAGAGACCCAGGATTGTAAAGTAGGGATTTTGTTTCTTTTTTTTTTTTTTCTGATACCAGGAATCTAACTCGCGACCTTGCGTGAGGCAGGCGCTGTGCGGCTGAGCTAAATCCCCAGCCTCGGAATTTTGTTTCTACTCCCTAATTGGGAGGCAGGCTGTACCAACAGGTAATTTGTAGGGCATAGAAACATACTGAGCTCATGACTCAGTATTACACATCCGCACAGACACTATGACTGCATGGAGGATATGCCCCTCTCAGAATCTTTCTCTTGAGGGCACTGTGAGATACTAAACAAAGTTGCCGTTGGTCTGATCCAACTGAAGTGACTTGAATTTTGGAGACGAAAGGCTTCTCTTTTGAGAAAAGTGTAACCATCCTGTTGGTTTGGGTTGTGGGGGAAAGGGTGAACAGAGGCAGGAAAGAATATCACAGGAAATTAGACAACAGTAATGACAGGTATTTCTTCAATTCTAAAATAATGTCTTGTTTAAAAAACATTTTGTACTGGGACTGGTTACAAAGTCAGTGCAGCTTTCCTACAGGTCTTCATATCTGAAATCAAGTTGAAACAAAGCTGCTTTCTGCTGAAATTATTTAAAAAGACTTGTTTTGCAGAGGCACACGCCTGTAATCCCAGCACTCAGGGGAGGATGAGGCAGAAGGATCACCAAGAGTTCAGTGCCACCCGGAGCTACACAGCAAGACAAACCAGCTTCACATTGTTCTGACATAGGGCCGACACATCGTTTTCCTTTCCCTTCTCCGGGGGTTGTGTAGTGCGTCACAGCCCCTGGCTGGCTGGGTATGTCACAATGGGGCTGCATTTTGTGGCAGCCCCCTGATGAAACTAGGGATGGGTACAGTTTCCCCAGGAAGTCACATTTTCAAAACATTGCTCTATGAGTGAGCTAAAGTGTAAATGTTTAGAAATGGTTTAAAACAGCACATTCTAAATTTTGTCTAAAGATTTAGACTGTGTTATTAGAGGGACTTGAGCGATCACCTAGTCCGTTTTCCTTTTAGAGTGAGGATTTTGAGAATTTGGATAGGTTAGCTGGCATACTTCTGGCAGGTTCTGAATACCGAGCCCTCTGAGAACCCTTTCCAGGTCACGGGATCAGACCCCTCAGTATTGCACTGCAGCTTAAAACTAGAAACCTTTAATAAGAGTGGTAGGTGCTTCTCAGCCTTCTTTTGATTCAAATCCTAGTTGTGGTGAAGTGATTGATAGACAGTTACATAATGTAAACAACACTGTTTTGTTGAATTTGATCGCAGTAAAGCCCTGTAATTATTTTACTTAGCATCCGGGCCATTGGAACAAAATGTGAACAATGAAAGCAAGACTATTTGAGGGGAAAACTTGTCCAATGAGCTATAGTTTAGCCTTGGTTTTAGTTTTGTTATGACCTGTACTAAACAAGTCTGTTAGGTGGGTAATATTATCAAATGATTTGCTCTGCCTCATCTATTC